AGAGAGAGAGAGAGAGAGAGAGAGAGAGAGAGAGAGAGAGAGAGAGAAAGGATTTTCTTTAGAAGGAATAGAAGATTTTTCTTTTGTTTGGTTTTGAAGGATTCAAATTTTATAAAATCAATTTATTGATGCAAAGAATAGCTATCCGGTCTGTTATTATCTTAAAGTTGTAGAAGTGAGTGCAGATCTGCTACATTCACTGATACAGATGATCATGCAGCATCCTAGTACCTCAAAAAGAAAAAAAAAGAAAGAAAATATGGCATGCTAAGATTTTTTTAAGACCCTGTCAAAAGCAAATTGGGACCCACTTCCCTGCCAAAGTATACCTCATCAAAATCTCCCTCACTTGTTTTCAATTAGAAGATAATACACATATGTGTCTTCATAGAAACACATTGTGTGTTAAATCCTCTCACTTTCAAAGGGATATTTCCATAATCTCATCACCGATATATATGACTGTCCATTACCTACAAACACCTAGTTGTTTTCTTTCGTAAGAAGACAACATATTAAGAGAACCATGGTCTGTTCTGTCTATCTTCAGTTATCCTGAAATTACTGATATCAACCAGAAGTCTGGGCCCATAGAAAGAGCATGGAAAATTTATAATCCACCAGAGAGATCTGTAAAAGCAGTTAGGTGTGTAAAAACAAGACTTTCTTTGCAACATCTTTTACTTTTACAAATGTTTTGTTCTTTCTGATGTCTTTCTCTTTACTATAAAGAGATAACTTGTTTTTTAGGTAGAAAAAAATTTATTTTTGTCATTGACCATTTTCTTTATCTTCTGTGAAAAGTCTATTTTTTGGATCATAGGTCTTCAGAGTATAAAATCTACTGTATATTATATGTTCATCAGTTTTATTCTATTTTATTTTTCTATATGAATCTCATAGTATATTTAGTAGTTGACTAAATCTTCCATAAAATCACAAAATAATTTAGATGCCATCACAGATATTAATTTATCATAGTTTGGGAGGATAAAGTTTCAGAGTAAAGGTCTTCAAATTTTTGTGACCTTTTTTTGGAGAATGGTGAAGGACAGTACTGTTCTAGGTATAATTTCTGGTTTGGCGACAGACATATTCTTCATCAACTTTTCACATCAACTTTCTGTATGTGTGTCTATGCTGTGATAATACTTACTGTCAGTTCACTAGTCACATGGAAATCATGCTAATTTCAATGATCTCATTTTAAATTTATTTCTTAAAAACCCTCAAGCTCCTCCCCCCTCCCTCCAGGTCCAGGAAGAAAACCCTGACTGCTCTTGGGAATGGTGAGGGACAAGGAGAAGGAGTGGGGGGAGCGGGAGGGTATTGGGAGGAGGGGAGGAAGTGGAAATTCTTTGAATAAATAAATAAGAAAAAAAATCCCTCAAGTTCCAAATAAGGTCATATACTATGGCACTGGGATAAGGTAGGGCTTTACAATGTAAGTTGGGACAGTCACAAATTTTATATAAGATTATTTTTGTCTCTCTAACGTTTTAAAAATACAGATAATTAAATATCCTACACCTTTATCTCTGATTTCCTTGGGGGTAAATAGTGCTTATCTGTCATCTTATTTTGGACCTTCTTCTCTTTTCTTGTGTGTGTAAACATGTATGTGAATGTGTGTGCATATTTGTGTGGGCACAGATACACAGTATATGTGGGTGTACATAACAAATATATAAACATATGTGGAGGTCAGATTTCAAATTTAATATTCTTCAGGAATCTATAACTTGCTTTTGGGGACAAAGTCTCTCACTTGGTTCAGCTCAGCAATAAGGGATTTACTTTGATCTGCCTCTTCAACACTGGGATTACATGTGTGTGCTAGCATGTTCTGCATTTTCATAGAGATTATACTCAAATTCTCATGTTTGCATGACAAGCATTTTATCCACATATTTATCTCAAAATTACTCAGTGCTTTACTTTCATTTAGATGTTAATAGAAATAATAACAATGCTTTATTTTATTCATTCCACACATTCAACCTGTGACTAGCACTATTTTGTGACTTTCTGTAATCACTCTTGACCACAACTATGACTTTAACCTTCTGGAAATTCAATTCAGTTGTATAACTGCAGTTGGGAATAAAGACAGACATGAGGGATATGCAATTTTAACAGCAGAATCCGACTCTTTTAAGGACTCTGTAGAGGAGTAAAATCATGAAGCTCAATAGCATATGTGTATGTATTGTGTTGTGTAAGGATGGCAGGATGTAGAAATAGCAGCCTGTGATTTAGAGTAGTGGAAGAGTTAAAAATAATAATAAGGACAAATCAAATTCAAGTTAAATAGCTCAAAAGGGAGAAAGAAGAACATTTACTGAGCAAATGAAGATAATATAATTGTATAAAAAGAATGGCATATATTCCTTAAACAAGGGCTTATACACTTATTTGTTTACTTGTGGTTTAGTGGAAAAAATATAATTAATTTTATATTAAATGGATTTATATTATTTCACTATTGTGTAATAAATGCCAAAATAAAATGATAAGAGTAGGATGAAATGAGTCTTGAAAAAAAACAGAAAATGCTGGAAATATTCCAAATCAGATATTGTATAGATAATTAACAAGTAAAACATACCAGGCAAGCACTTAAAATTAGTAACATAAAGTAATTATTGAATATCTTTATTAATCTTATGTCTGATGTGAGATATGCCTCTGTATGCTGTGAGTATGTTTTATTACCATTGGTTAATAAAGAAGCTTTCTTAACCTGTGCCAGGGCAGAGTATAGCTACACAACAAATCCAAACAGAGATAGAAGGAGAAAGAAGACCAAGTCAGGACATGCTGAGAGGAGCCACCAGGGAAGCAAGATGTTAGGTAACAAGCCACTAGACTTGTGGTAAAATGCAGAATAATAAAAATGGCTTAATTTGAGTTGTAAGAGCTAGTTAATACCAATTCTGAGAGAATAGGCCAAACAGTATGTAATTAATATTAATCCTCAGAGTGGTTATTTTGAAATTGACTGGGAAGAGAGTAACTGCCAGTAACATGTATTGTTGCTACAATAAGAGTTTAGAAATTTTGTTCTATGCTATATAATGATACATAGTTTATAATATACACAAGGAAGTTTTGAAACTATGAATCTTTATTAATATAGATGTGTGTTTATAATCTTTTAAAAAATACAAACTAAAGACAATTTTACCAAGTATGTACTGACCCATGCTGGCAATGATGCTGTGGACAGGTAACCTTGAAGGACCATGATAAAATGACCTTGATACATTGCTTTTTCTCTGCTGGTCTTGATTCTTAAATGCTGAATTTTCTTCTTTGGTAATATTAATGTAAAAACATATATCTGAAGCATTCATAATGTATCGAGGACCTGGATTCAGCAAAATGTTTTTATTATCCTCCCTCCTAACACCAATCAAGCAGACACCAAACCTTAATTTAAAAGAAGAATATAAGAGTTTAAGAATTACATTTGAGGAAAATTATCTTTTTGTTGTTTTAAATGCTTACATTTATAAGAAAATTAATCAAATAAAATGTATTAGAACACCATAACAACATCAAATAATAAAACTAAGAAGCAGGAGAGGATTCTACCATTAATAATACTATTTTTAAAGAACATAATTAATTCATTTTGTCATAAGCATTATGCTATATATATATATACATTTAAATGACAAAATATAAATGAGAATATAAAATATTAGACTGCTGGTCATAAAATAGAGGTAATTTCATTTTATATTTTTAGGATAACTAATAATGTCAAAATAATGAACAATATTTCTTACCTTTTTCAAAATATTTACAATCTATTGGAATTAGGGAGACTTTTATGAAATGTCATGTGAAAAGAAAGTTATATCTCTGAATCACCCTTACTATCATTTCTACGACCTCTCATATATTCAGCTTTAGAAAGAAACATATAAAATAGTCTTCAATGGTTGTATATGTTCAGAAGAAGAAATTAAACATATTGAAAGTAATACAGTATTAAAATATTTCTTCTTGCTCTTTGGTAATGTTCAAACTTTCAAAATTTATCTTAAAAACCTCACAGAATAAGTGAGTGAGTAAAATTGGAAATATATTTATTAGCAAAATATGTATAAATAAAACCATTGAGAATTAGAATGAGTAAACTATATATTATTTAAGGGGAATATATTATTACAAAGTGCAAAAATATATTACATATAATTATTTTAATGTAGATAATTTTTGATATATGCTTTTATTCCTTAAAAAATAATTTTGTCAATATAGGAAAGGAAAAACAAATCATCCTGACTAAGCTAGAAAGTGTATATAGTATCATTTATTTAACATTCCTTTTGGACAATGGAAAGGTTATAATCAAATTATTATTTATTTACTTTTGGATAATTGTGTGTTGTTTCATAAACAAAAGTTGACAATCAGTAACTATGATTAGGCTTGTCCACATAGTGATTCTGAGGGCAGCCTTAACTACATGAGACCAAGAAGCAAAAGATCGAAGGGTGAAAATGTGATTATTTTCTTTCTAGTTTCATTCTTCATCTGTTTCTGTTACAGTATACATATATATATATATATATATAACTAAATATGCATTATATAATATATATATCATTTTAAATTCCATTTATGTAAAAAGATTTAATGTTTTATGGTTGAAAATTCTTAATTGGCCAGGATGTTATGAGGGTCACAGATGTATTTTCCTCTTCGTAAACTTGACTTGTTGATACTAAATGTTCATATATTAAATGGAACAAAATTGATGCTAAAAAGTCAAAATGCTAGAAACTCATGAGCACCAATCTGGGTTGATCGTTGGAAAGCTGTTTATAAATGATCTTGTTGACTGACTGATGAGTTAAATTCTCCACTGAAAACAGAAACATACTTTTTGTGTGCATGGAAAGAAGCATAGGTAAAACTCTTCCCTTCATATTCAGCAAAAAAAGTACTTTCTTCTAATACGATGTGATAGACTTCATTTCCAGAGCACCTCCCGTACATCTTCTGCCATTGTTCTGGCGACTGCTGCCCTTCTCTGCAACACAAGCACACACACATACACGAAGAGGAAAAGACAGTGAATGTGGGTCAATGATGCCATTGGCTGGACAGTCAATCTCCAAGGCCAAGAACCAGTCAGCACAATTAGAGGAGATACTTACATTGGATTCTGAGTTCAGATTAATGACATCACACTAAATTGAATTTAATATCACATATAACATTAAAATGATGATTTGTGAGAAAGTAGAAAGTGAAATTTTACAAAACTCAATGTCAAAAATATTTATTCTGGGCATGGAACCATGAGTCAAGTACTTGATTTTTTTCTGTTTGTGGAAAAGCTGCACCCAAGTCCAGTGTGTAGAACTTGTTTCATTGTCTCTGTCATAAGACAAAATTTATTTTAAGATACACCTTGACTCTTATAGATACTGAATTTGCTTCATGTTTAAATTTTTGTTTTTCATGATATCAATTTGAGTTTGCAAAAGTATATGATGTTAACTTTTGTCCATTTAATGATCAATACTCCTCTCATACTACGTATGCCTCAAGAAAAGACAGATATTGATGTAGCATGATTTTAATTGATCTTAATAATAAAAACCTAGAGTCATAAATTAGGGGGTGAAAACTAAAAGATCAGAAAAGCAAAGCAGTCAGATCTTTAATCCAAGTACACGGGAGGTGAATATGAGAAGGAATAGGGCTGGGCAGAGAGTGGAATATAAATCTGGAGGAAACAGTAGCTCAAGGCATTCTGTCTGAGGATTCCTAGAGAGAGACTTGATCACCCATTCTGTCTGAGGACTTGTTTAGATAAGAACAAGTGTCTGGCTGTTCTGCTTCTCTAATCTTTCAGCATTTACCCCCATATCTGACTCAGAGTTTTTATCATCAAAACCAATTAAAACTCATGTTACATATTTAAAAAATACACTTCTAAATAAGGGTCCCAGAAATAGATTTGATATTTATAACCCTTTAATGTATGTATTGTTTTCATTCATAGGCTAGTATTTGTATGTAAAGCCTTTAGGTAAGTTAGGCAATAAGAGTAGACACCAGAGTGAATTAGAGCCATCATCAGTTCTGAAGAGCTAGCCTGCTCATTCTACTACATGATAATACAGCCCAGAGTCAGAAATCTGCAATTCAGAAGCTGTAGTCCAGGACTGACAAGTCAAAACCTAAATTTTTGACTTCTGAACACCTGAAATGTGAAAAATAAAGTTTTCTTGTATATAAACCACCCACTCTTTGATAATTTGTAATAACAATTAAAAGTAGAATAAGTTGATATGCAAGAGGGATGCTAATGGTGCTTATAAAAAGAAGACATATACATTAAGAAAAAAAACCTTATTGTTTCTTTAGCTTTAAAATGTTCTATCTAATGCTGAGGCTTTGGAAATTCAATTCATACAAAAATCATAAAAAAGATCTATAGCTGATTTTTCCTTTTGCTTCAATACATTTACTTAATATTTCTGATTAAAGATTATGGGCTCTGATAGCAAAACCAGCACATACTGCATGTAAAAATATCTACATGTAACATTATCTCATTGTAATCTCTATAAATTCTTAAAAGAAAAAAAAAACAAGTGATGAACTTATCATAATTAGTATTCAAAGAGCCATTGTAAAGTCAGAGTATTTCCCAAAAGTTTACTAAGGAAAGAAATTCATTAATGTTTTTAAAGAATCAATTAGCAACAAATACATGTATGTCCTGAAGGTTTGGGCCCGTGTTCCTTATGCATCCATGGGTGTACAAAAGTGTCAAAATCTTGGTTTCTGGACTATAATTATCAGATCTGAATCTCAATTGTGCAAACCAGTGAGTTATTGACTTCCTATTCATTTGAAATTATTCCTTCTGTGAAAAAGAGCTTCAATATTCTTGTGTCAGGTAAAATGTTTAAGATAAATATAGCACTTGGTTGATACTAGGATAAAAGTAGTCAGAAAATATTGACTACTGGCTTTGTTTTTGTAACAGCTTCCTTTCTTCCAAATTTTATAGTTACTTTTAATGTATTTGTCAATGTATTGCAAAATTTGTTTCAAAAGAATCTGTATTCCTTAATGTTAAAGTATATTTTCAGAAATAATTTGCAACAAGCACATTTTCCTATTAATTGCACTGTTACTTCTAACTACTACTTCCTAAACATTATTATGACTTGAATCTCAAATGTTCCCAAAACATTATTCTTTGAAACAATTAGTCCATGGCATATGGGACACTTTTGATGTTGGTGGAAATTTAGGATTCTGAAGCCTGGCTAACAAACATGGGTTATTAGGTACTGTTGTTGGGAGACTATTTCTGTCTATGGGTCAAGTCTAGCACTCCCTGTCTCCTGATCCACAAATGTATTAAAAACCCTCTGTTTCATGCTACTGTTGCACATATGAAAAGTGCTGTGGATGGACTGAAATCTCTCTGAACCCATGTGTAAAATAATTCTTTTTATTCCTTTAGGTTGTTTCTCTCAGATATTTAGTCATAGAAACAATGAAAGTAAATATATAAAGACTGATGATTCCTTGTGGAAAAAATTTCTTTTTGGCAAACAAAATTATCCATGGACCAAAGAACAATTTGGCAAAATAGTATTTGGCAAACATCAAAGGCTACTGAAGGTCCAGCAATATTAGAGAACATGCTGGCAATTCATCATGGCTTATTTGAGATACAAAATGATCTCAATGTCAGAGAGCTGTTATGCAAATGTACTAAAGTCCCTTCAAGAGAATCAAAAACCTAATTCAGAAGCTGAAATGAGAACATAATGTGGTACTGAGGAAGAGAGCAAAAATGATGGGGCTCAGCCCAGGCCAGATTTTGAAAAAAAAAAAACTTTATTTAGTGTTTCTCATCTTGCTACTTCATAACCTTACTTCCCCTTTCAGGAAGCATCATATCATTAGGAGTCCTTCTCTTTAAGACTTCTTTAAAAGCTTGTAAAAAGTAAACAAGAACATTTACTTTTCAATTATTGTAAAGATGTATACTTTTCTTCATGAAACTTGGGTCTTTTATTTGAGAGAAGTTGTCGAAATTTCATCAAATACTAATAGCAATAAACAGTCTCACAAAAGCAGTGATTGAGTGTAAATAAGGTTTGAGATTAAATGCTATAATAATTGACAAAATGGAGAGAGTAGCTAGGGACTACTAAGAATAAACAGGAGAAGAAAGCTTTGGGAAGAAAAATGAAGGGAAAAGGAGCCTAGGTTTTCAATGGGTAATTTCAGCGTAGGTAGGATGACCCAAGAATTCCAATACTGAGAGGCCAAGGGTTCACGAAAATACAAATGATGAAGATGGTCTGTAGCTTTCCTGAAGAAAGCCGCATAAGACAGAGAGAGCAACAGGTCCTTCCCCTAACCATAGGAATGCCCAATATGGCTAAACAAAAGCAAAGAACCCAATTAATCTGAGCTGATGACAAAAGACATATAGGAGACAGATGACAAAGGAGGGTGCTCTTGGAGAAAACTTACCAATCAATAGATGTGACATTTGCTTGAAATAACTAGACAGCCCCTGGAGATTTTATATATGTGCAAAACTATGCACTTAAAATTTATAAAAGTTCTTCTTATAATTGTGCTAAGAAGCTTGAAGAAGAGCAAAGACAAAAGGAGCTGTTTATTGGGCCCAAGTACTAATGATGGTTACCACCCGTGGTTCCCTTGAGTTAATCAACTGGTTTGTCCTTTTCTTCATTAATGCTTAAATTTTTAAAGGATTCATAACTCATCTTTGTCTCCAGTGTTGGCCCTACACATTCTCTGTACTGTTATGAAAATTTGTTCAACTATGTTCATAGCAGCACTATTTGTAATAGTCAGAGCCTGGAAACAACCTAGGTGCCCCTTAATAAAATAATGGATAAAGAAGGTGGCACATATACACATTAGAGTCTACTCAGTGGTAAAAAACAATGACATCTAAAATTTTGCATGCAAATTGATAGAAATAGAAAACACTTTAATGAGTGAGATAACCCAGGCCCATAAAGTGGAATATGGTATGTACTCACTCATAAGAGGATTCTAGCCATAATTAAAGGACATTGAGCCTATAATTTGTGATCCGAGAGAAGCTAAATATGAAGGTGAACCCAAAGAAAAACATATATCTATCCTCCGGGATATTGGAAGTAGACAAGATAGCTGGGCAAAAGTTGGGAGCACGGGGATGGGAGTGGGGGAGATGGAGAGAGAAGGGAGAAGAGGTAGATTGGGAGAGCTTGGGGGAATGGAATGGTTGAGATGGAGGAAGGGTGGATATGGGAGCAGGCAAGAAGATATCAACATTGACGGAGCCATTTTAGGGTTGGCAAGAGATTTGGCTCTAGAGGGGTTCCCAGGTGTCCAAGGAGATGTCCCTAGCTAGGTCCTTGGGCAGCAGAGGAGAGAGTTCCTGAATTGGCCTTATCCCATAGCCACACTGATGAATATCTTGCATATCACCATAGAACCTTCATCGGGAAATGGATGGAGATAGAGACAGAGACCCACACTGGAGCACTGGACTGAACTCCCAATGTCCAGATGAAGAGCAGAAGGAAGGAGAACATGAGCAAGGAAGTCAGAACAGCGAGGGGTGCGTCCACCCACGGAGATGATGGGACTGATCTAATGTGAGCTCACCAAGGCCAGCTAGACTGGGACTGATGGAGCATGTGATCAAACCGGACTCTCTGAACGTGGCTGAAAATGAGGGCTAACTGAGAAGCCAATGATAATGGCACTGGGTTTTGATTCTACTACATGTACTGGCTTTTTGGGTATCTAGTCTTTTGGATCCACACCTTCCTACACCTGGATGGGGGGGGGGGGTCTTGAACTTCCCACAGGACAGCGCACCCTGACTTCTCTTAGGACAGGAGAGGGAGAGGGAGTGGGAAGAGTTGGAGGAAAATGGGAGGAGGTGGAAATTTTTAATAAATAAATAAACTGCAAAAAAAGAAAAACAGAGAAATATGAAGTTTCACAATTCATGGGAATGAT